TATTGGCAGCTGGCTCTGCCCACCCACTCCCCCATCTGTCTATCCAATCAGCGCTGGAGGGACAAAGAAGAAGGGGGGAATCCCTGCAGGTTGAAGATCATGAATTGAGTGATAAGCGGTATGTGATTGCTCAGTTCTCGATCAATAGAGCTGACGTGAGGGCTGCAGTGTTACACGCCGGCTCTATCTGTGGGGATGAGTGCATTTCACGCATCCTATAGTTCTCCTTTTAAAAGATTTCTATGGCGTTGGCAGTGTTTTGATTTTAAGTACCTCTGTGATAAGCAGTGAAAGAGCTCCATTCTCTATGTCAGGTCTTGCTCTGCACCTGATTTTGGAGGTGGCTTTATTTTGTCAAAGCATGTTTGAATGGACAAAATCACTAAAAGGGATCTAACAGCAAGAGCATCCATGTTCCCCAGCAATGGAAGCCTAAGGAGCTGATGGCAAAGTCATCTCACTTGTTGTCTGTCAAAAAACAGCATATTTCTCCTCTCCCTCCACTTCAGTGTCAAGGCCTTTGAGGTTTTCGGCTCTCCATCGACCTACAAAGCCTGGTATTTCAAGGGGGAACGCTAGAGAATGCCTTCAAATGCATAGCCAATAAGGTGTTGTTTTGGCTAGAGTAGGGAAGGGTTAAATCTCCTGTCCAGTTTTTTGTTTTTGCTGCTGGTGTACAATTGGGGAAATTTCCCTTCCTGTCCCAGAGATCTAATAGGTAGTTAGATGAAATCTCGCAGTCCGCTTAGGCAGATGTCCCCAAAACAGTTGTTCACATTGGAAGATTTTCCCCCTCACCTGTTGTTCTGGGAACAATTCTTACAAGGTTATTCACCAAAGGGTGAAGAGTTTGGAGAAGGCGGGAGAAGTGACCAATCTAGGACAACATAGCTGAGCTGGAAAGTGAGCTGAATTGGAGAATTTCTCCAGTTCAGCTATGTTGTCCTAGATTGGTCACTTCTTCTGCCTTCTCCAAACTCTTCACCCTTTGTGAACAACCCTGTAAAATTTTGGATTTTTCCTTCAATTTTCTTTCTTGGCAACAGTGGTCACCAGTACCAATAGGGGTTGGAACCAATCTAGGACAACATAGCTGAGCTGGAAAGTGAGCTGAATTGGAGAATTTCTCCAGTTCAGCTATGTTGTCCTAGATTGGTCACTTCTTCTGCCTTCTCCAAACTCTTCACCCTTTGTGAACAACCCTGTAAAATTTTGGATTTTTCCTTCAATTTTCTTTCTTGGCAACAGTGGTCACCAGTACCAATAGGGGTTGGATTGGTAGATTCTCCCCAATTGGGACATAGACCGCAATTTAAATTTGACCGACACTCTACCCCTTCCTCAGTCTTGGTAAGTAACAGTCAAAGGTCTTGCTCCTTCCCCAGCCTGTGACTGGACAAAGAAGCAGCAGACTGGTGAGGTCATATCTCGGCTTTCTTCTTCAATCAGCATGCTCCTTGCGTTACAGAACTAAATGGCTGCTTCTCCTTCCTTTCTCCTGTTGTATACAGACAAGAGGATGATGCCAAGTATTGGCCGTGCTTGCATTTAAAAAATACATTATGTATAGAATAAATACAGGCCTGCAGTAATTTGGCATTATACAGTATAGCTGCCTGGAGTTCGGCTTTACCCCATTTTCCAGGCAAGTGACTCAAATTGTCAGTATTACAACCAGCCAACTAGCACTGCAGGAGAGGCCAGCAACGGTAGGCCACATATTTCTCTGGTGACCGGTATATTATGAAGAGGTCCCTTTATCCATTGCTGTCAGAAAACAAGGGCTTCCATTTGTAATTGTGATACCGGCTCCAACAAAGAGGAAAACACAAATGCTGCAACTTCTTATACATAATGCCGTTATTAGGACATTCATTGCAAATACAGACACTTTTTTTTTTTAACCTCCTAACCCTCTTGTCCTGCATCGTATTGTAACTGTACTGTCTCCTATTTTTGTAAACTGCTGGCGCTCTATAAATCCTGTATAAAAATATTACTGGTATCAGACATCAAACAAATGTGATCTTTAATCCAGAACTAAGAAAGCAACTCAGAGGTCACTGTGCTGTGAAACTGACTCTACGGGACACAGAAGCGATCTGGCGACACGCAAGTCGCCAGAATCGCTTCTGTTGTAAAGCCGACAGTCGGCTTTACAAGTTTAAACAGAGTCCCGGCAGCTACGAAGGGGTTAAAGTCAAAAGGGGGCAGTTGCCCATAGTAGCTGATTGGTTGCTCTGGTCAACTGCTCCACATTCTGTCTGCTCCAGTTGTGATAAATCCCCCTTTAAAAGGGCTTGTTCACACCAAAAGCAGTGGGTTCCAGAGCGGTAGCTGCTGGAACACGCTGCGATCTTCCCCCCTGCATTCAGGGGCAGGAGGGAGCGTGACTGTGCATTGAATTCAATGGCACCGCTTCCACGCCCCCCTGCCTGCAGTGCGATCGGACGCGTGGCAAAACTTTGCCTGCATACCGTTCCACTGCAAACGCAAAAAATAGAGCAAGCCCTATTTTTTTGCATTTGCAGTGGAATGCTGGCAAAGTTTTACCACGCGTCTGATCGCACTGTGGTGTGGCTGCAATGCCATTGAATTCAATGCACCGTCACGCCCCCTCCTGCACCAGAACGCAGGGGGACGTTTTGTGAGTTTCGTTTACGTTATTTAAAATACTGATGAAATCACTTACAAAGGATTTTGCTCCTTGATGTTTAAATGTTTTAGTTTTTTTTAATCAGCTGGTCCTCTGAGCCCTGGCCCTGATATCCTGTTTTATGGTGGCTCCTTTCCCTTGCAGGATCCTATGGAGCCACCCTTGTGTGTGCTAGTAAGCTGTGTGTCTCAGCAAGCCAAGCCACCCCGTCGCTCCCCACTCCTCCCCTCATTAATCTAGTAGATGGATAATTGTTGCAGACTTCTCTCTCTCGTCATCTTGTACTGAACAGGAAGTTCAGGAAAACAGAGAGTTGGAGCCATCTGCTTGGAAACATAACTGTAAATACTTCGAAGAAATACTTTGCTGGGCAATGTATATTTGTTTGATCTGCAGTCATTAGTGAAAAAAAGGAATTCACATCAAAAAAAGGATGCACGTGATTCGACATTGTGAATGCATGGGTGAATGACCACGGGGAAAGATGTGGTGGATCTCCGTCTGTAAAAATGAATCGTTTGCTGATCACTGGTGGGCAATTCAAAGAACTGAACACAAAATCAAACTCTCTTCCTCATTTCAAACGTTACTGCTTCCCTTTAAGAAAAGGAGACTGAAGTGTAAAAAGAATGACGCAATCCAGCTGATAAAAACACTAAAAGTTTAATGAACGCAGAAGCTTTGTCTTTCGGCCTTCATTCATCTCCGCACGCTTTATTTATAAAACTTGTGTGCAAACAGGTCAGCAAAGTCATTCCAATGCGTTCACTGTACAGGTTTGATAGAAAAAAGTATCAGAAATAATCCTTCCCTGTGTGCTTATATACAACATCTACTACACGCACGACAATGCCGCCACTTGGAGGAAAGAAGAAAATAACATTAGGATAAATAGACCAATACATATTATTTGTACAAAGCTTGATTTAGAACAACATATACGGTTTGATATTATTCGCTTTGAGTCAGAATAGCTTAAATGTTGTGCATATAATAATTTACAGAACATACAAAAAAAAGAAAAATAGATATTTAAATTGCGATGTACATAAAGAAATATTATTTTGACTATGTATAAATAACTTCCTGCAAAACATAAAAGATTCTGCTATTCGGATTCCTCTAAACACACAATTTACATATTAAAAAATGGGAGCATACTGGGGGGGGTTGTGTTGCTTTTCAGCAGTCGGCAAGGCGGATTGTACACAAGAAGATCGTTGTACGGATTCGGAACAGCAGAAGAAAATGAGAACAAAGTGCCAGATTCTCAGTGTCAGGAAACAGAAAAAGTGTCCTTCATGAAAGGAGGATTACCACACACTCCCTTTCCTCTGGAAAAAGTGACAGCTGGAATGTAACTGGCAGACGGGCTTCTTACAACGGAAAGGGAGAAGAAGAAAAAACATTTGCACATAAAATAAGCCGACTTTACTGCACAGGTCCTAGGAGAGGACTCCGAAACATTTCTCTCTTTCCGCTGAAGCAGATGATCCGAGTGCATTTTCTTTGCTTCTATATTTATGTACAATATTGTATTCCTATGGGGATCATGTCATCCATTGCCCTGATGCATCACAAGCTGAAAAAGAAAATGTTAAATGATAGACAGCAAGTATACATTAGTAAAAGAGCTTCAATACGCCCCCCAGGATTTTCAGTGGTCCCTGTTCACACCTGAGCAGCCAAACGCACATGAGCTTCTTTGGGCACTTTGCAGCTCATTTTTCCCCCATAGACTTCAATGGAAACACCAGGAAACGCGTGACAGAAGCATGTTGCACATTTTCATGCACGTTTCTACGAGTGTTCGTCCATTGATCGCAATGTTTCTACAGAGAACCCATGAAGATGTGTGAATTCTTGTGTAGGAATTAACTGGATGGTCAGGAAGCCAGGCAGCCTAGCAACAAGTGAAGCTGGCTTCCTAGCCAATCAGGAAGCAGGTCATGACGTGCCGCACGGATTCCCGATTGGTAAGGAAGAAAGGCTGCTCGCAAAAAGTGAAGCCGGCTCCCTATCCATTCAGGAAGCTGGGAGGCGGGTCAGGAACCGCTGCCTGGCTTTCTAATTGGCCGGGAAGCCAGCTTCATGCTTCCTCACAGCACTGCTGGTCAGAGGGAAGTTCCGGTATCAGGGAAGGTACATCGGAACCTCTGGGGGAGCGGGAGTACTCTCCCAAATACTCAGCAGTGGCACTGATACTAGTATCGCTGCCTCCCTAGACATAAAAAGGAGTGTGTGTGTGTGTGTGTGTGTGTGTGTGTGTGTGTGTGTGTATTTCATCCCAGCAGAACTGATACATCATTACAATTACAGCATATTTTTGTAAGCTAAATGGTACTCACCAAAAAGAAGGCTGGAGCCACGCATCCACTTTCTGGATTCTTCTGATGAAAGTGTCCACATCATACACAAGAATTCCATTGTGCTCAATCTCCTCAGCTTCTGTGCTTGGCATAACTGCATGTACACAAGGCAACACTGAATGAATGCTCTTAGCATTACCTAGCAAGTACACAACCTGTCACTCTTTTCCAGACTGGGATTTACGTCCCATATGTAGAATAAGCGATACTCTCTGGATAGCCACTCACAATGCTCATTACAAAAATGTCAAAATTAACTCCAGTCCAAGCTTCTGCAGCTACACACTATATGCCCCGGGGGAGCCGCACAACTCCCCAGGATGGTGCTTTGCTTCTTCTGCATGCATAGAAAAGTCCCATGTAATTCTATGAAGAGGACGCCAATTACCTATGTCAAGCACAGTTGGCCTCTCCAATGGAATGAGTGAGATTTTACTATGCATGCGCAGAAGAACAGAGGGACAGGCCAGGAGAGTTGTAGTAACAGCAGGATCAGGGGGAGAGTAGAAGTATGTGTGTGGTGCTGGAGGGTCATTTACAAAGGATAATTATTGAAAAGTTATACTATAAATGAAACGTCTTTACACATTGCGCTCCACGGTCACACCTGAGGCTGGTATGTTTGTTTGTAAACAAATCTCCTGTGAGCACTGTAATTGGCTTTTCATCTGATCATGTGATCGGAAACCATGCTGATTGGTTCCTGTTAGTGTAGACTGTAAGCAGTGCTGGAGACATCTTTTGGAATTACTACTTGACTACACGGTGCCTCCGTGGTCGCTACAAGCCCCCTATTACAGACATCATCTCCTAGGAGATCCGGTAAGGAGTGCAGGAAGATGCACACAATTTTGTAAGCAGTCAGTGACGCAGTAGTCTCAGATTCAGACGCACACACAGGTAAGATAATTCCTAACAATAGGTGAAATCAATCTGTGTAGTGCTGATGCTACCTAGAAAGCATTACACACGTGCTAAAATGGAAAAGTCCAGATGATTTTCCTCAATAAGTCATACTGAGCAGGACTTGCAATAGTCCTATAGGGGAAACTGCGCAGTCTCCCATCCCTGGATCTTAGGGCTACATCTATCTCTGTGTAGTGCTTTCTGTTGGCTGCAGTGAAGATAGACTAGGAATTAAATAACATCTTTCAGATGCATGCATAATTAGCCTGTAGTGGGTCTCTGATGAGAGGCTTGGGATAAGGTATTCCCAGAACACTAGGCTACTGATAACCAGAGGATACAGCATGATGCCTTGATCTACCTCCTAAACTGAATGTCAAAAGCTCTTCCCAGAAAGGCTGTGCCACTTTGTAGATTTCCAGGGTAATCCTTCAGGTTTGGCTTACCTAGAAATAAGCTGCTCTGTTTGACCACACCGATGCAGTGTCAAGAATTTCACACAACAAGACCTGACATTTTAAAATACAGGCTTCATAAATAGAACATTTAAAGTCTAGCAATAATACCTGTCAAACAGACAGCAAGTCTTGAACGGATATGTTGGCTCTGGAGGTTCAACAGACATTCAAGATCACTTGAGAGGTCTTTAGACCTAGAGTCACACTGATGATAAGGCAGGATTTCAATGACGTTTGATTGCTGGTAAGACTTGAGCAAAGAGATCTTAATCCGAGAAATAGACTCTGCTCTGTTGTGAGAAAAAAAAAAAAACACAAAGAAGTTCATCCATTACAAACCTCTGAT